CGCCGGCGACTGGGAGCGCTGCGGGGGGGGGGCAAGCATGGGCGTGGTCACGTGACGGGGGCTTGGTCACGCGGCGCCGGCGCCAGGAGAGAGTGACGCCTGCGTGATCACGTGGCACGGGCTCTTGGGGGGGGCTGCGGGATGTGGGCGTGGTCACGTGAGGTGGGCGTGGTCACGTGAGGTGGGCGTGGTCACGTGGCACCGGGACCCACTGATGGGACCGACTGACACCGGAAGTGCTGCGGGACACGGGGTGTGTGGGGGGTCTCCATCCGGGGCGGCTGTTGCTCCATTTTGGGGTTAAATCTCCCCATTTTGGGGCCGGCGATGATGACTCAGTCCCTCGGCCCCAAAATCTGCCTTTTTGGGGCACATTCGGACTGTTTCGGGTCTGTTACTCCCCTTTGCGCCGCACTTTGCTGTTTTGGGGTGGATTCCACCGTTTCGAGGCACCTTGGGCTGTGTTAATGACAATTTCAGAGTTTTACACCGTTTTTGAGTGGATTGTTTCATTTCTGGGCGTTTTACTCCGGTTTGGGGAGAGRTTCGTCTGTTTTGGGCCATGTTACTCCAACTTTGGGGTCTGTTTCTCAGCTTTGGGGACTCTCGCTCCATTTTTGGGGTGTATGTGTCCATTTTGGGGCCTGTTACTCCGATTTGGGGGGGTTTATACCATTTTGTGGTGGGTTCTTCCATCTTGGAGCCTGTCACTCCCATCTGGGGCCTCCTTTCCAACATTTTCACCTGCTTTCCCCTGTTTTCTTGCATTTCTGCCCATTTTGGGCTGTTTGCCCCATTTCATCCCAGATTTCCCCATTTTGGGCCATTTCCTCCCAAATCGGTCGGTTTTTCCCCTCGTTTCTCCTCACATGGGGCTCATCCAAGATGGCGCCCGCCAGTCTGGGGGCGACGGGGGCCTCCATGTTGGGGGGGGCACTTGAGGGGTCCCACAGGGGGGGATTTGGGGACCCTGGTTCGATTTTTGGGGTCCCTCGCTCTGTTTTTTGGGTCTACTGTTTTTTGGGGGCCCCTTGGTGTTTTGGGGGCTCTCTTACGGTTTTTTGGGTCCCTTGGTGTGTATTTTTTGGGTTCCTTGGTGTTTTGGGGGGGTCTCCTGGTATTTTTCGGGTCCCTCCTTGTGTTTTTTGGGTCTCTCGGTGTTTTTTGGGGGCTCCCTCACTGTTTTCAGGTCTTTGGCGCTCTTTTTGGGCCGTTTTCCGGCTATTTCGCCCTCCCTCCCATGAGGCACCGCGGCGGGAGCCCCCGCCCCCTCCCCTTGCGCCCGGGATCCGCCCACAACTCCCAGCGTGCCCTGCGCGCGGGG